ATTATTTCTTTCCATTAACTTATCCTTATTTATTGTATTTTAATTCATGTAACTACTCCATTATCTATTATTATTAAGATTATTTTAATAAATGATACTCGTTTTATCATTGAAATCAACACAATTATTATCATCTTAAAAAGTGTGAAAATCTCAAAGAGCACACCTATATAAGACGTAGGGAGTACAAATATTGCCGCAAAAAATATTCTGGTAAATCCCAAACTAAATAAAGATAGTTCACATTTTTTTAATTATTCATAGAAAGACAGGAAATAAACAGTGAGATTCTTCAACACCACTAAAATTCTTGCTTTTCTGCCTCAATTATGTCTTTTTGTTTTTCAAAGTATGAGTTTTATTGAGAAACAAGTGTGAGTTTTAAGTTCTATATTACTTAGAAAAGTGGAGGTTGAGCATTTCATAAGTAAGAGGACTCATACACCTATCACTTTAAAGTTTTGATTGAATATGTGGTCTCTCTCTCTCTCTCTCTCTCTCTCTCTCTCTCTCTCTCTCTCTCTCTTCTCTCTCTCTCTTGTTTGGGTGAGTGTTTGACCCAATGTGAATGCTTCCCCCTTATTATGACCCAATAGTGATATCAGAGTCTGGTTTGAGTAAGGGATTGACTCCTTGTGTCGAAAGTCTTCTTGACATGGTGGTTAGGCGACGTGTTATGTTGTAGTACCCATGATAAGTAAGGGTGTCTAGAAATGAAGATACAAGCATGTGGATGAAAGAGCTTCCACTTGAGGAGGAACATAGTGGATGGACTCATATTTGAGAGAGGGATTATTGAGAAAGAAGTGTGAGTTATGTTGAGAAACAACTGTGAGTTCTAAGTCCCACATTGCTTAGAAAAATGGAGGTTAAGCACTTTATAAGTGAGATGAGCCATACACCAATCATATTAAAGTTTTAGGTGAATTGCTGAAGCGATATAGGGCAAGCAAAAGTAAGTATTTTTATATGGTATATCATATCATCTCCATAGGGATTAATGCTACTGAATTGTCGTTCGACAATTTCTCGCGTTTATGAGTTTGAGTTAAAATGGGTTATTTTAAAGGAAAGGTAAAATGTATCAACAGAAAATAAATTCATCCTTTAGAGGGGCAACTTATCAGGCATGCATATAATTCACCCCTCACAAATTTAAACCTATCGACCAGTTATACTCAACCTACAATACTCATCAATGTCGTCACATGTGAAACACAACACCCGTTATATCACCTTGGTGAGGATCTCTCAACCAACCTCAACAACACATAAATCAATCGTGCTAATCGCATCGACGATCTCTCAGCATAACACAACCAACACAAAGGCATTAATCCTAGACACCCAAGTTTATAATAACACTAAATCTATCTCTAGAATCTAGACACTATTAGACAATCATCCTAGATAAGAATTCGAGCAGTATATGTCTATAGCAACCTAAATCTCAAGCACAGAGCAAAAACCCAGGACAACAATCAACAAAGATTTGTAAAGCAAGTTTTATACAATACCATGGGCGACAAATATACATGAAATAAAAGTAAATACATATACAAAATCCAAAAAATTAAGAATACACAAAGTGTTGTAACCGGTTTTAAAATGAGAGTCGTCACCCTTAATTTTAATCTTTAAGAAGGGGATATAAAGGATAACCCTAATTTGGTCAGAGATTCTAAGTTATTGGACTCGTTTTTAGACGAAGGGAAGGTGTTAGGCACCCTTCATCTACCTTATTCACAAGGATACTAGAGTTTAGAAACGTAATCTTTAAGAAGTAGGGTTTTAGTTTTTTTTATTAGGGGAACTCACCACGATTTTAGTCGAACGCCTATGTATCCTCTTATGAAGAATCAGAGTCTCAATTCCTAGTTCGTAGTTGGTTGGTGTTTTTTATGGATTACGAAGATGTTTTGAATTTCCCTTGTACTAAGTCTAGATGTGTGAATAATATAGTGGTTAGACGAAGTTCGCAGTCGATTAAAATATTTTCGTAATCCTTTTTGAAAAAGGTTTTAAATTAACTAAGTTATTTAAAAAAGATTTAGTGTTGGTTAACTATTTTTTAAATGTATTAATATATAAAATATCTTACTAATGCATGGTTAAAAATAATTTTAATGCAATAAATAAATACTTGGATGAGTTAGAAAATAAATATTTGATTTTTAATAATAATAGTAAAATAATATTATAATTTTACAAATATATTAAATTACAAAAATAATAATTATAAATAATAAAAGAAATTTAAAAACGCAGAAGGGTGTATTTTGCATTGAGATAGTAAAATGGGGGGTATAAGTAGTAGGGCCCTGAATTCAGATGTTGAATTCAGGCCCAAACACATAGGGGGTGAGTCATTGCACATGTTAGTAAAAATAAGGGGTTTAGTCACCAGGGACCCAAGTCCAGATGTTGGACTTGGCCCATTAGTGTTAGGGGTGAGAATTAAGTTGGCTTAGCAAACACAACCAAACTGGGGGGTCTGAATATCAAGGGCTTAGGCCCAAACAACCTGGGATTCGTTTAGGTAACGTGTGGGAGGGATCACTGTTGCACCCCAAAATTTGCCCTCCTAATTTCCTTTATTTTGGCTTAGACTTTTGCATTCATTTGCATCTTTTTCATTAGGTCACTAACATGGCATACATTTCATTTAATATAGCTCTGAGGTTCAAAGTTCAGTGGTTGTGCGATACTAGGGTTTCATAGTGGTTAAGGCGCTCATATCCAATAAAGGACTTCTTCTCCCTCAAGCAGCAAGGCTATTATCTTCTGATAAACAACCGATTATAGGTCATTCTGGTCAAGAACTCTAGGACGTGACCTAGCATATGTGGGCTTCGAATCATGACGTCTTTTCCTATAAGTATGCTTGTCATTTGATTAGGATTAATGAATGTGACATGACAATCGTCTACTCCTCAGTTAATCAAATTAGGTTTTGTTGAATCATGGTTCAAAGATGTTTTATCCGGATATTTCTCTGTGCGTCTGAACGAGGAATCAAGATTGTGAGGGTTTCACATCAAGGGAATTCTTCTGTGGTTCAGACTTTATCATCCATCTGTAAGATGTTCCTTATGACACTAATCTCAAGTTGAAATAACCGATCGCTAAGGGCTGAGGATTGAATTGTGAAGCGTGGTTCATGACCTAAGATATGAATTCATAGATTTCACCTTAACCAAGGCAATCATTGTCCTCATCATTGTCATTTGTTATCTGCGATGTGAGTAGGTTTGAATTAAAGTAGGTTTCTCATAGAAGAATTCATGCAAGGTAATTCAAGGTTCAAGGCATTCAAGGCAGGGTTTGTTCAACATGGCATACCTGGTTGATGGGCTTACAAGCTCTTATGAGACCTTGAGATGCATAATCATGGGCCAATTTCAAAGATATGTGGATAAGATCTGTTGACTTCGGTTAAGGTAAGCTTTGAAAAATTAACTTTGGGACCAAGGTCTCCCTTGAATTTTCATCTAATAGGTGTTGGGAATTCGAGTTGCATTTGAAGAATGGTATGGTAAAGGAAAAGAAATATTGGTTCAGAAAAGAAAAAATTCATTAAAAATCAGGGTTTCTATTCATTGATAAAAGTTCAAGTAATTGAAGATCAGGGGAAATAAGGTTTCATATTAATCTTGATCATATTCTTTCATTATCATTTACATCCATCTTTGATGATTTAAGGTCGTCGATTAGGGAGGACTTTGTCAAGATAAGAGACTTGTGGATTGAATCGTGGAATATGAGGCATGATACAAAAGGCAAGGTTGTGAATTTTTTTAGGATCAAGATCTTATTGACTATTCAAATTATTTGTCATTCAAGTTAATTTGTGTTCAAGATTGAAGTTAGGAGTTCATTGAGAATGCAAGTGTGATTTGGATTTGAAGTTTGATTTGAGTTCAAGATGTTCGAAAGTGGTTGATTGGATTAAAGTTGGCAAAGAGCCTTAAGTATTGGTCATATGAGTTTCTTGGAAGGTAAAGTACAGACTGTGAGGTCTTGTTTCAAGTCGGAGTTCATACGCATTACAAAGACGTTCATCGTTATTCCAGATTCAAGTTGACATGTGTTCAAAGTTTATTCGAACCCTTTCATTCATGATTCAAGAAAATACTATCCAATTCCATTCAATTTCATTCAAGTGTAACAATACCTTACAAGAAAATTTGATGCTTTCATGTCTTCAAGCATTTTTTCAAGACTTTGTCATTTAAACTCCGTCCTTAAAATTCATCACCCAACATTTCAAGCTCAAAGGTCATTTACAATTCACACTATAAATTTCAAGTTCATCCAAATCAAACATTCATTATAAAATCATTACAATCTCATTACACCAATATTCTACAAAGAAAAAAAACCGTTACAAAATACACTTGAACAAAATTCTTTAGTCCTAAAGGTGCTAAAATTCCATGAGTAAACTTCTAATTCCATGCCATGCCAAAGTTCTTCATCTTCAGTTCATGACCTGCACATTCATACAAAAAAATCCAAGTCAATACAAGCAATCATGCCAAAATATCCTATGCTCATACAAATTATTCGACACATAAAAAACCATTAATTAACCCAAACCAAATGCTAAACACATATATGGAACAACCTGCATACCTTAACTTTGGCAGAGAATAGGTCCACATCATTCAAACTAACTGCAATTGAAAGAAAAATCAAATAATTTTTTAAAAGTAAGGAAGCTTCAACTCAAATTTAAAGCATTACAAATAAGATGACAGTACCACACACAGCAGTCTGCTTCCCAAGTTGCTATAGTTGCAACGGGATCTCACAACTCTTTTACCAAAGACCATACACAGAGAAGTGGGTCTGTGTCCAGTAATCATCCACAGCAGCGTAATACTTTTAGAAATCGCAGTAGTGGTCCACATCAGCGTGGAGATGGTTCTCACCATCATAACTATGGGAACAAGCGTGATCAAGACTGGAATAGTCGTCGAAATTTCAATGGTAGAGAAATGCATGTGCCACCAAGAGTTTCTCCAAGAATAATAAGGCCATCTCTGCCTCCTAATTCTGCACAATTTATTCATCCACAATCATTGCGGCCTTTTGGTGGCCACATAGGATTCCATGAACTAGCACCTCCAGTGGTATTTGTCCCAGCTCCAGCTCCAGCTCCACCCCTGGATTCACTAAGAGGTGTTCCCTTTGTGCCTCCAATGGCACATCCCACTCTTTATTATGCAGGGGGCCAGACCCTCAGTTGCATAGTATGATTTTTAGTCAGATTGAGTACTATTTTAGCAATGCAAATTTAGTTAGGGATACATTCTTGCGGCAGAAAATGGATGACCAAGGCTGGGTTCCAATAAAACTAATTGCAGGCTTCAAAAAAGTATTGCTTTTGACAGACAATATCCAGCTTATAATGGATGCAGTTCGAACTTCACCTGTTGTTGAAGTGCAGGGAGACAAAATAAGGAGGAACAATTGGATTGGATGCTGTGATGGGAGGACTGAACTGATTTCTCATGCAGATAAGCTTCTACAGACATGTGAAGCTATTGATACAGATGATGATGATGATGTTAAGGAAAAAATTCTAAAGCTTGGTATTTGCGTCCTGCATGGTTCAGAAAAAGTCGCTGCAAAGGAGCTTCTGAGCCGTATTACATTGGCCGTGTCAAAGCTTAAAAATGGGACTAATACTGAAGATATCCTGAACGATGACAATCATACATCTAATTCTTCAGGTTCTTCAGGTAACGGCAATGCTGCAATGGATACTACAGACGATGAAGGTCCTTCTAAGCATCTAAATGCTCAAAAAGGAACACAGTCTTTTCGTTATCAATCCGAGTTATTAAAGCTAGATGCTGAGTTTGATAAGGCTATGGAGGATCTTGAAAAATCCCAGAAGTATGAATATAAGCTGGCAGAGGAAAGTCTTCATACGCATAAGAAATATTTACTAAATATTTCACAGCAACTGGATAAAGAGAAGTACGAGTTAGCAAGCGAATCCGACACATCTTGTTCGAGTGTCTTGCTTCAAACTGTCGAGAAAAGAAATGAAAACCTAAAACGGGAACTCTTCCTCAATCACCTTACGCTACTGATCCAGCATGGTCTGACTCCCTTTGGAAAATTCTGCATGTTACATGGGATGATCCTGATTTAGTTACAAATACGAAGAGGCTGAACCCCCCTAGCGATTTTCTAAAAGATTGTTAACCTCCATAACTGCTAACCAATTATAACTGAATTTAAAACTCTCAAACTGTAACTAACTTCCTCATCTCCTAACAACCTAGTGCTAACCTAGTTTTGAAACTAACAGAATCTCACTTCTAAAAAAAAAACTATCAAAGTTAACTTCTAACCGACTACACCAAGTTACTGAATTTAGAAAACTAACTCTAACAGTAGTTTTTAGCTTCCAACTGACTTGTTCCTAATATCTAACATACCTAACTTCTAAGAGAAATTTCACTGGCAGTTATTAACAGAACCAATAGAAGTTAACAGTTCTAACTGCTTAAAATCTGACCGTTCATCTTGTAACTGATTGATTTGATTCAACGGATCAGATCTTCACGTCTCTAACCGTTTCCACCTCCCTCAACTACCTATATAATCCAAAACTCCCTCCAAGTTTCAGAGGACGATACTTTCTCTTTTCCAGTTTCAAACTTCATCCTCTCTCCACTATTTTTTTCTATCCTCTTCCATCAACACGCTTCATTTTTCACCCAGAACTCAAAAAGTTTTCGGAATTCTCTCTCTTTGTTCTCTAACCAATACTCTTCACCCTTCAAGCCACTCTTCATTTTTACTTATTTCATCATCTCTGCACATCTTCAACGCACTTCATCATCTTCACACCAACCTACAACATCAACGCATCATCACAATATCAATGTGCACAACAATTTCAATCACCAACGTTCAATGTAGCAACATCACGGTAACATCAACAACATCGCCTTCATATCATACACAGTAGCAACAATTCAGAAACGGGAGAATCGAAAGAGAAGAAGAAGAAGAGAAATAGCATAGGCAAGAGATTGAAGAGTATACCTTCTATACCGCAGGTCTTTTCTGATTAACGCCTCCACTTTGAATAGCTACCGGATAGGTAAATCTTCTTTTGTTATTCTGCAATTTCTATTTCGAATAAGTTGTTGAATCCACAAAAAGATACGAAACACAGAGAAAATCGAAATGAAAACGAATCGGCGGAAGAGATGTTGAGATGTTTGAGATTGAGTCAAACTCGACGGTTTGCGGAGGTGTTTGCTGAGATGGAGGTGTTGAGACGAGTTGACGAACGGGTGAGGTTGAGAGGCGAGCTCACTGAGAGGAGAGTCGTGTCATCGAAGATGAAGTCCCGGTAAATATTGTCCCGTTGAATGGAAGCCAGGGCGGAGAGATTTTGTTTAGCGATAGAGCTTTTGACGGAGATTATGAGACAACGGTGAGCTATTGAAGAAGAAGGCCCTGCAGCGCTGTGTGGAGAATTGTGTTTCAAAAGGATTTGAAGAGATACTTTTAACCCTAATCCCTCTTCCAATTCACACTGTTCCTTCATTCTCTTTACTTTAATTTTTTTATTTCAAATGTTTTTATTAATTGTTTTTTTAAATATAATTATAACCATGTTGAATTGAAACTGGTGATGATTGGAGTGATTTGTCCTCTGAATTGCAACTCTCCTCTAGGCCCATTACACCTTTTTTTTGCGGTTTGGAGCAGTTTGTGAACAAAAAGCAGCCTTGGCCCATACCATTTTTGAAGAGATATTGGAAGTGACAAAAATGTTGTGGTTGGATTGTGTTGACGGACCTAGCGCTCAGCTTTGTTTGCTAACCAGACTCCCTTATTCCAATTTTCACCCCCTATTTGTTTCTAATTGTTTTAGTTTTTTATTTCAGTTTAAATTTTCTTTTAAACTTTATTTTATAAAGACTAATGCTAATGAAACAATAAGAAAAATAGGTAGAGTTTAGGATTTTTTTTAAATTTTTTTCTATATCTTTCCATGATAAAAATGATAAAAATCAGTCAAAATTTGTTAGATTTTTTATTTGATTTTAGAAATTAATTCATAATTATTCGATTACTTGAGACTTGTGATTCACTGTTGTTTTTCGAGATTTGAGTCTTATGCAGGTTTATTATGCGGTATGCGGATACGCTTGAAATTTCGATTGTGATTTATTTTCACATCGATGGTGCTTCAACACTTATTCCGAGCATTGGATTTCTAATTCTTTTCTTTGTTGATGCTAGCAACTCGTGAGATCATCAAGTTTCTTTGCTTTTTACTTTGCTCTACGAGCTAGTACTCGTTTGGTATATTTTATTTCCACTCTCACCCCACATTTATCACTTCCCATAGATTGCATGGTATGATGACTTTAGGTTTAGAAATAGGTTAGTCTCCCTGTGACTTTTCTTTTTTATTTTCGCATATGCATTAAAAAAATAAAAACTTCTTTTTCTCGTAAACTTCAAAAATACAAAAAAATTTACTGACGAGAATCATATCTTCGTTAAGTATGTGAGACGATAAGCGGGTCTCTTCTCGACCTTATTGATCTCTTATTCTAAGATTTGGTGTGGTTTAAGTCTCAAAGACTCATTTCATGAATAAGTAGAGAAATGGCTAAAATCTCTCTCTTGAGGTTAACTAGCTATTATCTACAAGCAAAAACACCAACAAACATAAAAATCTTTTTGCCCTCGGGCCTTTCTTTCAAATCCTTTTCAAAAGAGCGTATTAATTCACTTCTGTGCTGACGCGTAAATCTCCGCAGGTCGAGTTGCGGCAGAAGGCGAGATTAATACTGTTCGTTAAAGAAAATACAAACAAACAAAAACACATAAGCCGAACTAAGGCTGCTCTGATTCCTTAAAAAGGATACGTAGGCATTGGGGTAGGGCCCAGGCGAGCACAATTTTATTTTCCCTACATTTTTCCCTTTTCTTTTGCATGCATTTTCCCTTAGCAGTTGTGATACGGTGGGAGAACTGACTAGTGTTTTGCGTTTGTATTCGCACTTGTTCGGTTGAGCAAGAGTCGCCACCGACTTTTTATTTTATCCTAAAGGAAAGGTTAAAAAGCACAGCAAAAACCTTTTGAGATATTTCATGGGTTCGGGGGGTAGATTATTAAAAGGGAAGGTATTAGCACCCTTTTCATCCATGGTTATCCATGGGCTCTTAGTTACTTGGTTTTTTAGATCACTTGCCTTGATTTTCGATTGCTTGAAATTGTGGTGTGTGTGTGTGTGTTTTGAAAAATGTTTTTGAAGAGATTCCTTGTCTTAGGCAACCAATGTATTCGACTCGTGTTTGAGTGTTTTACAAAAGTGTGTATCTTTTCGGAAAGATGTTTCAAATGTTTTTGAGAGTTTGTTTTGAAAGTGTGCATGAAGTGTGGTTTTTGAAAAGAAGGCAAGTGTTTTTGCAAGTTGATCTCAAGTAACTGAGAGTTTTGTCTACCCCTATTGTACTCAAAGGTTTTCTCTATGTTTTCAATTCTTTTAACAATTTTGTTCCACCATTGAGTTTGATGGACAATCTTGCATTTAGGATGTTTAACGGGACGGGCGCGGGTCATCGTATGGACCATGAATGCAATGATGCCAAGTGTCTTTGGCAATTTGCTTTGAAGGGACTATGATCATTCCATTTAGGCATCTTTCGAAAGCGTCATCGAGGGACTTATGATCATTTGAATTCGTTTTGCCAAAGAAACTCGACGTGCAAGCATGGCCCATTTTGGAAGGCAACATGTGGGATTACCCTAGAGGGTGTAAGTGTGATTGTGTATTGATTTCATGTATTTGTCTTGTATTAGGTTATCTAGCGTTTGATTTTATGTGCATGCAAACCCTAGGTCTAACCATGGTATAATTTGAAAGCGGTAAATTACAGAAAAGTAAAGTCTACGCTATTACAAATAGTATCCGGGAGTGGGGGTACAAATTCACAAATGGGGATGAGACTTTAGGAACGTAGTGTCCAATAATTTACAACCAAATCGAATTGCGATAAAAGTGTAAACAATGTATATCAATGTACAAGATAAGCAAATGTGTATAGGAGCAATGTAAATGTATTTGTATCAAGCGTATAATGTGAAATGTATTTGTATATTGCGTACGTGTACGTGTATATATGTATGTAATTTATTTACAGGTGCGAAAATGTGAATTTAATGTATTATTAAGGTATTGTTTTAACTTAAATGAAAAGAATTAAATGTTTATTTAATTAGTCTTTGTAATCTTGTATTTTTCCTTAATATGTACAAAAAAGAATGTTTTAATTAAATGTTTTAAATTTTAATTAAATTATGTATATTAAAAAATGTATCTTGTCTTGATTATGTACAAAAATTTCTAAGAAAAGAAAAGGTACTAACTTAAAAAGAATTTATGTACAAATAAGTATTTTACTTAAAAGAAAAAAGGTTTTGCATTTTAATTACATTGTATTTTTGTATTAATGTATTATTGTCATGTTTTGTATTTTATTTAATTATGTTAGTATTTTTTTTTATACAAAGCTAGTGTATTATTTCAAAAGAGTTAAGTTAAAAGAAAATAAACAAAATTTTAGTTTGTAAAAAAGAAGTGAAAAGAAGAAATAAATGGGCTTGGGCCCAAGCAAAAATAAAAAAGAACAAAGAAAAAAAAGGGGGTGTGTGCCCAGCTTGCTATGGACTTAAGGTTTTGTAACGGGCAAGGCCCAAATGGTTGGACAACAATTGTTTTAGGGTTCTTGAGTTTTCGTTTCACTTGGACATGGCTTAGGGTTTGTGAAACAGAAGCGCGCCGCTTGTGGTTACTTCGTTCGTCCTCTTCCACCTTCGCCTGAGTTCCTCTTGCCCATGGCCACCAGCGTCCTCAACCTTCCTCTTCCCTTCAATGGATCGTTAGGGCGACAGATTTCAAGGTAATGATCTTTGTCTTTCGCATTAGGGTTTCGTTATTTGCATGTTATGATTTTACCCTCTGACATTATGTTCATTATTGTATGTTAACGAAGTTGTGAAGAGGGATGAAAAGGAAATGTTCTACCTTGACAGAGGAGGGGAAGAAGGGAGTTTGGAGGCGCTTCAGAGGCTTTGATGGTGAGGGGAACTTGATGAAGATGAACTTGGTGCTAGCTTTGACTCCTGGTTTGTGTATTCTGTTTGCTTCTTTTTATTAGGGTTTCATGATGATGTGTGACAATCTGAAAACCTTGGTCGATTTCACTTTTCTTCTTCTGATTATCTTGACGCCTTGCCTCGTATGCTTCTGTTTGGCTGCCTTGCGTTGATTGGGATTTATTTGAATCTTTTCCCAGTGATGATGCTTTCTGAGAGCCTCTCGTATTGATACGCTTCTTTTTCTCTTCTCCCTTTTCCTTGCTTTGAGTTGCCTTGTGTTTCGTATGCTTCTGAATGTTGATTTTTTACGCCCAGGGATGATGTTTTTCTGAGGGCTTAGAGTTGGCTTTGAATGCTTTGGTATTGAATTGAATGCTATGCTTGAATTTGATTTGGATGGTGTTGAAAGGTATGTTTGAACAGGTTGTGTTGGTCCAGCTTGTTGGACTGGTTGATGGCCTTAGGCATATGCTTAACAAGGTTAATGCTTGTTGGTGAGGCTGGTTGTTTCTGGTTTGGATGTACAGGTTTTAGCTTTGAGTTAGGTTCTATGGCTTTTTGTTTGAGTTTTTGATAAGGCTTGGATATCAGACTTTTTAGTGTTTCCAGGTTGTTGGTTTGGTGAGGTTTCAAGCAGGTTTTTTGATTGGTATTATGGTTTTGTAAACTGGCTTTGCAGGTTTGTTCTTTTGACAGGGGTTTAGGTTTTTGGTTGTAAGGCTCGAGGCTTTTGGCTTCAGTTAATGCAGGTTTCTTGATTGGTGTTAGGGTTTATGTTTGATGGCCTTACTGATGGTTTAGGCTTGGAGACTGGAAGGTTTATGCAGGTTCTGAATGGTTCTTGCACAGGTTTGGGATGGAGGTTTACTTCAGGCTATGTGTTTGGTTTGATCATAGGCAGGTTTTGGCATATGCAGGTTTTGTATCTGGAGAGTTTTGACAGTTGTGGTTCTCTCTGTTTGATATCTTTTTGATATCTCCTTTATCTCTACTGTGTTTAGTTTTGTTTTATATTTCTCTCCATGCCTAAAGCCTTGTAAGCCTGCTTTCTTTGCTCTCTTCTTCTCTCTCCAGTACAGTCAAAATATTAAAATATGTTTGCATTGTACTTTTCTGAAAGGGCAACTCTTGGGAAATGACGAAAATGATTTATGTTGCTTGCATATTAATCTTTCTCTGCATATTTGTCCCTTTTCCTCCAGATTTTGTGCTGCACTTTGTACCTTTTGATACTTTGATATCTTCTTTTGGCAGTTTTGAGTAGCCTTGTACAGTTTGACATCTTTGACAGAAAGTTTGAATTTGGACTTTTAGTTTGGACTTTGTAGTTTGATTTGGACTTTGCATCATGCTGTTTGAGATTTGAACTATGCAGTTTGACAATTTGACTTGTGCATTCTTTCAAAGTTTAGCAAATAAATATTCGT